GGACACCCTGTATATAAATCGTCGGTAAAACAACGATACCATAGAGTTTGATTGTCAATTTGATGATCCCCTCAAGGAAACCCTATAAAACGTCTGTTTTATTGACCGAGTGCAATTATTTTTCAGCACACTATTTTTGTAATTGCCTTTACAGATTTACAAATTTTTTGCCACAATTAAAGTATAGGTAGGTACTAATCTAAACTATATCGATTGACTTTATGCTGAAAACAAAAAAAGTTTAAGAAAATAAATTACTTTTACCGGCTTGTTAGTTCAACATAATGTGACATCTAGAACTATCAACAATTGAATCAATATTTGTTTCATATAAAAATATTGGAGTGTATTTATACAAAATAGAATTGGCATAATCTGCGGATTACATGAAAAAAAGAGTTCTTAGAATTAGGATTTTCAGATATTTAATGAGAAAGATTATGAATTAGATATTAGAAATATTATTTCACCTCGCTATCTCGGAGACTATTATATATAAATGCGTAATATTAATATTGCATTCGTAAATATTAAAGCGTCTTAGAGCGTATTCAAAATATTCCTATCTGAGACTATCCTTTAATACTAGGTATGTAAGAAAAATTCATTATGATATCAAGACATAAATGTATAATTGTCACTTTGTATTAAAATAGCCTCCTTTCCTTATGTAATACTTGATTAAATAATTATAAAAAAAGAGAATGAGAGAGATATAACTTTGTAATAGACTAGGGATCACGATTATATGCCTAACTCTTTTTTTCCACTTTTTTCCCTTCTCCTCTCTCTCTCTCTCTCTCTCTCTCTCCCTCTCCCTCCCTTGCTCCTCCTTCCTCATTTTCCGCAAAATATAAATTCCTTAATGTCATAATTAGATTACCTATTGATTGAACTGTTACATCTGCATTGTTCTGTTGCAGCAGCATTCGAATACACTCGCGACGTAATATGCGGTAAAGATCCGAGAAGATTTGCGCCGCGTAGGTTACCAGCGAAGCCGCTTCTTCCCAGGAAACTGTGAGCACATTTATAAAGACGAGTTTGTAGAATTAGCACATCGTCGAGATCTTGTTCGCTGTAATGTAAACATATTACATTTTAATTTACTATGAAATTAGACATTCTAAATTCATATATAATATATAATTTTTTCTGCGTTCTAACATACAGAATATGATTTTTCTCTCATATAATTATACAATGGAATTGTGCTTTAAAAAACTACTTAATATATATGTATACCTTGCTGCAGCTAAAAACTTTTGGAAGAGTTTATTAGGAACAGTACGAGGCCGATCTACGGTATCTTCAAAAAGTTCCGTTTCTCTGTTATACAAATGCAAGAAATCAGAAAGTTGCTTTGCGGTAATGGCAGCTCGGTCCTTGTCGCTTAACTTACTGCATGGTAACTACAGAAACAAATTATTAATTTAAACAAATAATCCAATTAATATAATTTATTTTTAATTGTTAAAATTGTTATAATAATGTAGCATAACACTTTGGTAATAAGAGAATTAATTTATGATTTAACTTCGAATTTAACTTAGAAATTAAATTTAAATTATAATTTGTCGCTGTTAAAGTACCTTGATTTTTTAAAAATAATTTTTTTAATATATATATATAATAAAATATTTAAACAATCTGTCACTTATACGTACCGTAAATAAAAATGGTGTTCTCAAACTGCAAGACGAGTGTTGAAGAAACTTCATAACAAGATCGCAACATCCTGAATCTGCGTTAGGCTGTGATATTTTTCGTAATATGTAACCTAGATATAAGCCAAAGGCTTTCCTTGCTTCACCAGAACTGAAACATCATTCGTATGATTAACATTTTTTTTGTACACAAAAGAAGAAAGACAAAAATAACAAAATGGATAAATTAATCTAACAATGTGCAAAATACTTGAATAATTGATATTTTTATACGAATCTTAATAACAAACCTAAGTTTATTGCCTTCTTGCATTAATTGTATTATTTGGCTTTTATACTTATGCATATCTACATCTAAATTCTCTTTGTTTACTCTATCCAAACTTTGTTTGTGGCCTTTCACCAATGCTCTTTCATATCTTTCATATCTATAATAAAATAATCAATTATTAATTAAATCATTATAATTATGTAAATAAAGTTATAGTATATCATGATCTACTTCTGATATTATATCCATTCACTTTTTTTCTTTTTTGTTGTTTTTGTAAAGATAATTCAGATATATTTATTAAAGTTTAAGAGAATGCTGGAAGGACGGACGAACTGCTATTTTACCGACGATTTGTACATATATGTATATGCGATATTGATAAAGTAATGATGTGTTGATGTTTACTACATCAATTTCGCGTGCACTGCACTCGTACTCAAATCGTACTTTTCTGTTTATTTCTTTTTTTTAGCTTCAGAGTCATAAACTCAAGATCTTAAAATATTCTTATGTATTATTCAAATGTGGATTAATACTTATATGTTGAGTAAATTGGAATCATTGCTGTGAATCATTTATATCTAACGCGAAGAAATAACCTAGGTGGTAATAGGAAACTGTAATTGCAAAACTTTTTTTAGTTTTTTATATCGTTTTGTATCTCTCCACATTTATTTGCGTATTTTTTCGCATTTTGGAAAATTTTAATGCTACACAAGGAAAGCGAAAAAAAAAAACGAAAAGTACGATTGCTAGTACAGTACATTATAGACAACTCTAACATCTTCTTAATTTTTTACATGATCTTGTTCATAAAAAAATTGAGAAAACATTCAATATAACGCATTTACCTGAGACAACTTTGATATTTCGTGATCATGATCTTAATACAGCCACTGACGTATGTTTAATTAATTTTTTTTATATTTTTATTTAATAATTTTTAAAATGTTTAATTTTTCAAATATATAATAAATTTTTACATTTCCGTGTTTATAATTTGACAATTTTCTGTTTGAATCTATAAAAGATAAATGTCCTTAAAAATTTCAAATAAGTAGTTACAAAAACACGAAACTTCAAAGCAAATTTTATATTTTTTAATTTTAATGATAGAGTCCTGCAGTAATAATCCTGCAACTATAGATTTAA